TCACCCATTAATACAACACCAACATTTTTTGATTCCAAATTCAAAGCAATGCCTACTGTACTTTCTTCAAATTCTACTAATTCACCCGCCATTACTTCATCAAGACCATAAATACGAGCAATGCCATCGCCTACTTGAAGTACGGTACCTGTATTTACAATTTTTACTTCGGTATTATATTGCTCAATACGTTCACGGATAATTTTACTAATTTCATCTGCACGAATGGTTACCATGAATATTTCTGAATTTGATTCTTTTTCGAAGAAAAACAAAAAGAAGGCCTGCCTGCCTATACTCTCAATTATAGTAGAACAACTAATCAGTTATTTTTTTCTTTCATCGCCCCAAACATACCAATATTAGCACTGATCGTACGTAAATGTAACTCGTTGTTTAAGCAACTATTCAAAGTTCCCAGAGCTCCTTGTAATGCTTGTTGTAAAACCCTTTGTTGCACTTGATTAATTGCCCTTTGTTGTTCAAAATGAATGGTTTCATTTTTGTAATTTTCGAATTGTTCCAAAGTTGTATAAATTGAATTAATTAAATTCAATTTTTCTCGTTCTATCTCGGAATAACCATTCACTCGAAACCGATCTGCTTCCATTTCTACTTTCCTTAAACGGGACCGGGCTTTTTCCAGCTGTTCAATGGCTGTTTCCCGTAGTTCTTCTGAATTTCGAATAGTTCTCAAGATTCTCTGTTTTCGATTATCTAATAAATCACTTAATGAAAGTAGATTCTCTTTCCATTCATTTCAAAATGTCTATGATCTCTTCCCGAACCAAACATGAATCTTTCAATTCATTTGGCTCTCACACTCAATTCCTTATAGGAAATTTCCCCATATTTATTATGGAATGAGCCTATCCTCTTTTCTCTATTTCGAAAAATCTTGAAAATGATTATCAATACAAGACCCCAATATTTGGAGGACTCTTCTGACCAAACAAATAATTGTCAGCAAAGTTGTTTTTTTTTTTCTTGAAATCCAAAGAATTCTCATTAATTTATACGTAGGTCATCAATTCTGCATTGTAGAAAAGTAGAAACGGAGGCGTTAAACACAACACCTTTTTCCTATTTTTCATCCATCATAAAGAGAATTCAAGTCAGTTTTTCGACATGAGTGTTCTATATCGAAAAAATTCGAATTTCACTATTAACATAGTGGTAGAAAGAATACTAGACTGCGTCGAAACTTCAAACTGGTTAGCTTTAACCATGGTAATGTTCCAAAATTCTTGGTTGATAGAGAATCAAAGTAGATTTCCCAATGAATCGCGAAATGCTATGGTTCTTAACTATTTTTTTTTCGTTATTTTGTAAGAAGTCATTCGCCGGATCATGCACATTTTCCTAGTTATAACAAAAAAAGTGCAGTTGGTTGTATCCAATCTATTCTTTGAAATAAACAACTCGCACACACTCCCTTTCCAAAAAAAATCAATACACCTAGCACTGCACTTAGATTTATTAGATTTGTTGCTAAAATATCGGTATCAAACCCGAAACTTCCGGCGGATGGCCAGTAAATGAAGCAAAGAAAAGAATCGGTTATATTTTTCATATGATCGCATCTCCTCTTATGGATAGACAAAATTTCTTTTTACGATTCCAAGTTTTTTTTATTTGTTTATGATAGTTTATTCTATAATCTAATTTTTTAATTATTTAATATGAATATATCAAATTAGTATATTTTTATTCTTACTAAAATGAGTATATTAGTAAGAATAAAAATATACTAAAATTGGTTAGTCAATTGAAAGAGTCCCTATAAGAATGATACTTCTTAGAAGGAAATACTAGTTCTTATGTCAATTGCAAAATACTTAGTTGGTTTCAACACTTTCTAAATCAAAATTAAGGGGTCAGTGGACTAAAAAAAGGGACGGAAGAAGGCGAATCAGTATGTTAATCCGAATGAAGAAAAAATTGTAGGAGTAAAATCTAAATAGAATGAAAAAAAAAGCAAGAGCAGCAACGAAAGTCCATGGAAAAAACAAGATGTATTTTTTTTATTAAACAAAAGGATTGGCAAATAAAAGAGCTAATGCTACAACCAGCCCATAAATAGTTAAAGCTTCCATAAAAGCCAGACTAAGTAATAAAGTACCCCGTATTTTGTCCTCTGCTTCCGGTTGTCTCGCAATCCCTTCTACAGCTTGCCCTGCAGCTGTGCCTTGACCAACTCCAGGTCCAATAGAAGCAAGCCCGACGGCCAACCCAGCAGCGATAACAGAAGCAGCAGCAATCAGTGGATTCATGATAAGTTTCTCCTATTCCAAAGAAAATAAAAAAATAGTTAATAATATAATCAACAAAAAATTTATGACTTAATTATTTCATTCTTCATATTTCTCTTTATCTAGTCGAAGTGTAATTCAAAATTTCAAACTTAATAATTTTTATTGAATTATCCCAATTACTTCGATATTCACTTTTTTCGTTTCTACCCTTGTAGTTTTTTGTGAATACATACAATTTTTGGTCTTATCTTACATTTTAAACTTTTTTTTTCTTTGATTTCATTTTTTTAGTCATTTTTTTATATTCAATTCAGAATTACAAGAGATGGAATCTTTTTTTTGAATCCCTACCTAAATTTAGAGTAGTAGCAGAACAAATTTAGATAGATCGTCATATATAACTAATGAATATCTACTATGACATATACATGTGTTTGTTCCATACCGTAAACCAATGAGTTGTATCTTAGATTCAATCAATCATTCTTGGAAATCCCCCAGCTGTCTTATAACGATTAGATTATATATACACCTAGTTTGACCCCCTCAACCTTTGTTAATTTATTTAATCTCTATTTTTTTTTTTACAATTCCCTGGTAATTGTTTTAATTTTCTTTCTACTTTTTGATTGTTATTAAACCTTTTTAAAATTTCTTTGTATTTTTTTATTAATATTCCTTAAGTATATTATCGCGAGCCACACATACTTTGTTGCGGGCTAAAACACGATTTTGATAACTAGTCAATGATGCCCTTCCATGGATTCACCTATATACGCCGCAGCTAAAGTAGCGAAAATAAGAGCTTGAATACCACTTGTAAATAATCCAAGGAACATAACAGGTATAGGAACTACTAAAGGTACTAACGAAACAAGAACAACAACTACTAATTCATCCGCTAATATATTTCCAAAAAGTCGAAAACTAAGCGATAAGGGTTTTGTGAAATCTTCTAAGATGTTAATCGGTAAAAGGATTGGCGTTGGTTGGATGTATTTACCAAAATAGGCCAATCCCTTTTTTGAAATACCCGCATAGAAATAGGCTACTGACGTAAGTAAAGCTAATGCAACAGTAGTATTTATATCATTTGTGGGTGCAGCTAACTCTCCATGAGGTAACTTTATAATTTTCCAAGGCAAAAGGGCCCCTGACCAATTCGAAACAAAAATAAATAGAAACAGAGTTCCAATAAACGGAACCCATGGACCATATTCTTCTCCAATCTGAGTTTTGCTCACGTCTCGAATGAATTCAAGGACATATTCAAAAAAATTCTGACCAGACGTGGGAATAGTTTGCGGATTTCTAACAACTAGAATGGTTGAAATTAATAAGATAGCAATTACAACCCAAGAGGTAATAAGTACTTGAGCATGCACTTGAAAATCCCCTATTTGCCAATAGAAATGTTGACCTACTTCCACAGCAGATATATCATAGAATCTGTTTAATGTGTTGATGTAACATAATAGAACATTCATATTGCCCTGTCCTCTAAAATAAAAAAATATACCTTGAAAGGGAATTATTTTGATTCAACCATTTCCTTATTTTACTTTGATTTTCTATTTTGAATACCTAACTAATCACAAAATATTTCTTTTTACACAATTTTGTAATGCTATAATAACCAATTCCAAAAATCTATGACCGCACGCCCAACCAAATCGAAAAATTGATTTATCTTATTATTAATCAATTTTTTTGTATATAGCTAGAACGACCCTCACAAATTGCAAAAACTAATTTGTTAAGAATTAATCCGATGGAAGCTATAGCATCATCATTAGCCGGAATCGAAATATCTGCAAGATCTGGGTCAGAATTTGTATCAATTAAAGAAATCGTTGGAATTCCCAAAGTGATACATTCTTGAAGAGCCGTATATTCTTCTTGCTGATCAAGGATTATTACAATATCAGGTAATCTTGTCATATATTTTATACCGCCTAGATATCTTTCCAAATGAGATAATTGTCTCTTCAACATAGTGGCATCTCTTTTTGGAAGAGAGTTCAGTTTCCCCGTCTTTTGCTCCGTTCTCAAGTCCCTGAACTCACGAAGTCTCGTTTCTGTAGTATACCAATTCGTTAACATACCTCTGAGCCATTTTTTATTAACATAATGACATCGAGCTCTTATTGCAGCCCGTGTTACTGAATCGGCTGCTTTTTTTTTTGTACCAACAATTAAAAATTGTTTTCCTGTGCTTGCTGCATCAAAAGCCAAATCACAAGCTTCTGATAAAAAACGAGCAGTTTTAGTAAGATTTGTAATATGAATACCTTTACGTTTTCCCGATATAAAAGGTGCCATTCGAGGATTCCAGTTCCTAGGCTCATGGCCAAAATGAACCCCAGCTTCCATCATCTCTTCAAAAGTGATGTTCCAATATCTTTTTGTCATTTATCCCCACACTTTTTTAAAAAAAAAAAAATTGAAAAAAAATAAAGAGAGACCCAGTATCCTGAAATAGCAATAAATAATTGTTCCGATGGAACCTTCTCTTTTATAGACGATTGGCCGTTAAGATAGAATCAGGCCATTCTTTTATTTCTATTTATTATTATTTTTTATTCTACTTTATTACCAAATCAAATGACTGCATTTAAAGATTTTAAGGGGCTGAGTCGAATCCGCTTTTAGGAACCATTTAATCCTATATTTCTAATAATGTATCACATAAATTCTTTGAAATGATAAAAATCAAAGAATTTTCTGTGATGGAACAAAAGATTTCTAATTTCTACTTCGAATAATTTTTTTTTCCGGGTAATCTTGTTATGTTGCCTTGACCGTGAACGGTGCATTATTCTTTTGAATCCGGTACCAACGGGTATCATCCCCCCTAAAACAACATTCTCTTTAAGACCTTTCAACCAATCAATACGACCCCGAAGAGCGGCTTTTGCTAAAACTCTAGCAGTTTCTTGAAAACTCGCTTCAGATATGAAACTTTGAGTATTCAGAGATGTTTTTGTTATTCCCAATAATAAAGCTCGGTAACAAATGGGTTCTTCCAAGGCACGCCCCATTCGTTCTGCTCGCAATAATCCAATTAGTTCGCCAGGTAAAAATACATTAGACATTCCATCTTCTGAAACCAAGACTTTGGATGTTATTTGACGCACAATAATCTCGATATGTCTATTATGGATATGTACTCCCTGGGATCGATAAACCTTTTGGATTTTATTAACCAAAGAAATACGACTTTGCGCTATAGTTAGCTCAGCACCAATCAAGAATCCCCAAGGCATGCCGAGAATTTTTGTTATACACTCGTTCCAAGCATCAATTCTTTTTTCTAGATTCATGGATATTGAATCAATCGAACGTATTTCTAATATCTGTTCCACTTTTGGAAGACCTTGTGTTATATCACCGGATCTCGATTTTTCATATATGAATGTAACTAAAATATCTCCTTGAGAAAGGATCTCCCCATAATGGCCGTGAATGGTTGCTTCTGGAGTCGCCAAATAAGGATTAGCCAATCTTATTATTACAGAATCCATTTGAACTGTTATAACTTGACCCGATTTTAGTTTTAGGTGTGGTCCATTTTTCATTTTAGCTATACATATATTTTCACAAATCAATTGTCCAAGACTTATTATTGTAAACGTTTTTTCACAATAAAAATGATGGAGAAAAAACCAATTCAAATGGAATGGATTCAAAACAATATTACTGTATAGATCGGGTTTAAAAATTTTCTCATTTTCGTCCATTAAATAATATTTAATTACTTGAAAAATTTCAGTGAATTTGTCAAGTTGCAAATTTTTAATGATTGAGATCTTATTATGAGTTATTAAATGATAAAGTGAATAAAAATTCGCAACTTGAAGGGCTATTCCTAAAGGGCCGAACGAATTATTATTATTAATTGAAATTATAGGATCTTTTTTTATTCCATTGTGATATTTTACATTGTTGAATGGTCTCATTTGAAAACAATTAGATGATGACAAAATTATCCAAGATCGGCATTCTTTCTTTTTATTCAACAACATACGAATAGTTCCGTGATTTTGGCTAAGTGATTGTTGAATTTTTCCCTTGGAATGAATAGAAAAAAAGGGATTGATTCGATCCGATTGATTATCCCTGATCAATCCTAAACCAGACGGGTCATTTCTTTTTCTAATATATGAAGTATTAGATTTGACTAAGTCAATTCTTAGAAAATACTCAATCAAACCATTTGTACTTACTTCAATAAAGGAAGCGGGGGCCTCCTCAATAGAAGAACTTTTTTTCCCGTGATCCCAATTGAAGACTAAACAAGTCCGAACTAATTGAATCCTTGTGTCGGAAATTCCCCGAATGGATTTTCCATTTCCATAAAGAATATAATTGACAACTTTTAGTTCCAGATTATCCTTTTCCTGGAATAGATCTTGGGGAAAAAGTTTTACAAAATTGATACTGTCCGGTATTTCATATAAAATTACAGGTCGAACCAAAACAAAATACTTTTTCTTGGTAGTTGCGATCCATTGGACATAAATCCAATTTTTAAATTTTTTTGATTCCTTGCATTTTTTTTTTTTTACCGTTCCGGGCGGTCTCAAGATGGCACTGTGTCGGGATATCTTATCCATCTCTCCGGGAAAATGGATATTTCCAGAAAATATTTTTAATTCTATTTTTTTTTTTTTCTTTTCTAATCGGACCAATCCGCCTACTCGACTTCTTATATTGAAAGTGATTGGTGTTCCTATTCCAACAAGACTATTATTCCGTACCATTAGGGAAGAAGATTCGGGTAAAATATGCACTTCTTCGGGAATAAAAAAAATTTTATCTACTTGAATTTGGTATTTTGGCTTTACTTCTTCGATTCCTTGATACTCACTGAAATCTTCTTTTTGAAAAATAGAATGAATTCCTATAGTTGTATATTTAGTAATTCCTGAACTCTGTCTTATGTATTGAGGATCATTGAAATAAGCAAAAATACTATTTTCATGAAAAATACCATTGATAGGTATTTCAATGGAGACACCGGAAGGGGACATTAGTTCGTTCTTTCGTTCTTGAATCGATTGGAATGGAAATGGAATAAGAAATCTATTTCTTCGCCTTTTCGCCAAGAAATAAAAAGTATCGTTCAAAATAGCAGGATACATTAAATCAGAATGATCTGTACATATGATTTGATTCAATATTGAAGAATCGCTAATCCACTTTTCTTTTGTACCAAAAGTATTGAATTTATGTTTTACTTGATCATTCCTTTCTAAAAGATTCGAAATATTTGTTTTTCCATTAGAAAGTGAATCCATGGTAACTTGATCTTGATCCTTGCGAAGTAAAAAATGGATTGTATTAGACCTGCACGACTTTCCTGACAATATCCATAAATGACTTGTTTTTGGTAAGATATGTACATTACTATATATAAATTGTGATGTATGGTACACATCGGTACTCCAATGCATTTCCCCTTCTGAGTCAGAATAAATATGTTTTTGAACCCTCTCTTTCAAATTTAAAGTAGATGTTCCCGCGCGGATCTCCGCAATCACTTGTTCTGATTTTACATATTGATTATTTTGAACTAATAGAAAACTTTTTGGTGGAATAATGACGTTATGTATAATATCGTCACTTTCAATAGTTACATAGAAGTCTATATTACATATAAAAGCAGGATATCCATGACGTGTCCGTGTAGGGTGAACTAAATCCTCATTAAATTTTATTTTTCCATTCGAGGGGGCTCGCTCATATTCAGCAGTACCCCCTGTGAATACTCCACCAGTATGAAAAGTTCTTAATGTTAGTTGAGTTCCCGGTTCTCCAATAGATTGACCAGCAATAATCCCTACAGCTTCTCCCAATTCTACCAGGTCCCCATGAATAGGACTCCGCCCATAACACAATCGGCAGATCCAAGACGTATTCCTACAGGTAAAGGGGGTTCGAATAAATATTGGTTGTGTTTGAAAAGTTATGAATCGATTGATAAGTCCAATTCCAATATCTTGATTTCTAACGACAATGCACCGTGAACCTATATATATATCGTCTGCTACTACACGACCAATTAATGTTTGTATCAAAATTCTTTCTGGCATCATTCCATTTCGGGTGTTTACATAAATCCCACGGATGGTACCGCAATCTGTTCGCCGTACAACAATGTGTTGAACCACTTCAACAAGTCGACGTGTAAGATATCCAGCATCTGATGTTCGTACAGCAGTATCTACAACCCCTTTACGGGCTCCGTAGCAAGAAATTATATATTCTGTTAAAGACAGTCCTTCACGTAAATTGCTTTGAATGGGTAAATCAATCATTTGTCCTTGTGGATCTGACATTAATCCTCTCATTCCGACTAATTGGTGCACTTGAGATGCATTTCCTCTAGCTCCTGAAAAAGACATGATATGGACTGGATTAAAGGGGTCAGTCATCCTAAAATTGGAATTCATTTGTTGTCGCAAATATTCGCTTGTAGCATACCATATTTCAATGGATTGGCGTAATTTTTCTACCGCATGGACATTTCCATAATGATTATGTTTTTCCAAAATGGAACTTTGTTGTTCAGCATCTTGGACTAGCCATCCTTTTGAAGGTATTGTTAAAAGATCATCAATTCCTAATGAAATAGATGTAGCAGTAGCTTGATGGAATCCTAGAGTCTTTACTTGATCTAGGATGTGTGATGTATATGCCATTCCGAAATGATCTATTAATCTGCTAATAAGTCGTTTAATGGCAGTTCCACCTATCACGTTATTGTGAAAGACTAGATCGGCCCGTTCTGCCATAAGTACCTCCATATTCCACTCAGTGTTATTCGGTTCGACAATGGATTTGAGTTAATGATTGGAAAACTTCCTTTTCTTTATGTTTATTCACGTAGAAAATTGAAAAGATGCTAGTTGACCTGAATTTACACCAGTATCATAAATTGACTTAGCGTGGATACCAACACTAACCATTTATATGATTAGATACCATATGAATCGGCTCGAGAAAAACCTTGTATAGCTTCTTCGATTTCTCGATAAAAAGAAATATGACCAATAGTGGTTCGAATGTATATACAACGAATTTCTTTTTTTATACTTCTTATTACTAAATAATCCCCATAAATCTCATAATAGGTACCAAAAGATTCATAGTGAACTTCGATAGGAACTTCTCTTGAAGACATAATGCATTGATCTATTCGCCACCGGAGCCAAAAAGGACTATCGAAATTTATTCTTTTCTGTCTATAAGCTCCAATTGCATCATAGGAATTGCAAAAAAAGGGTTCTTTTTTTTTCATATACTTCAAGTTATTATTGCTAATTTTTTCATTGTGAGAATTTCGGGAATTAAACGAATTATACCTGTTTGCACAAATACCTCGACGATTTCCGCTAGTTAATACGTAAAGTCCAATAAGCATATCTTGAGTTGGTACACAAATGGGATCCCCAATAGCCGGAGACAAGAGATTCGTATGAGAAAACATAAGTAAACGAGCTTCTGCTTGAGCCTCCAAAGATAAAGGCACATGAACAGCCATTTGATCCCCATCAAAGTCTGCATTGAATCCCTTACACACCAATGGATGTAAACAAATAGCACGTCCTTCGACTAAAATGGGTTGAAATGCCTGTATGCCCAATCTATGCAAAGTAGGCGCTCTATTCAGCAATACTGGATGCCCCCGCATAACTTCTTGAAGTATTTCCCATACAATGGGTTCTTTTTCCCGGATTTTCCTCTTAGCAACTCCTATGTTCGAAGCAAAATGGTTTTGAATTAAACCACGAATTAGAAACGTCTGAAATAGCTCTATTGCTATTTCGCGGGGCAATCCACATCGATGTAATGAAAGTGATGGACCTACGACAATAACAGAACGCCCCGAATAATCAACTCGTTTTCCAAGAAGAGTCTCTCGAAATCTTCCCTCTTTGCCCTCAATTATATCGGAAAACGATTTGTAAACTTTATTATTACCGTCCCTCATTGGTTGTCCGCGGATTCCATTATCAAGAAGTGTATCCACGGCTTCTTGTACCAATTTTTCTTGACACATTACTAATTCCTCTGGTGTAGATCTACTTGTTGTTAATAGATCAATAAGAGTATTGTTCCGATAGATAACTCTTCTATAGAGTTCATTAATATCCGAACTCATTAGTTTACCGCCATCTATTTGAATAATTGGTCTCAATTCGGGAGGAAGCACTGGTAAGAGACATAATACCATCCATTCTGGTTCTATATTTGTTCGGATAAAATGCTTAGCTAATTCCATGCGTCGAACCAAAAAATTCTTTCTTCTTCCAACTTTTTGATCTTCCCATTCATTTTCATTGTCAGTGGACCCCTCTTCTCCTAATTCTGTCCATTCTAGCAACGAAGAATCCATAATCATTCTTAAATCCAGATCAACTAATTGTTCTCGTATAGCACCCGCTCCACTAGAAATTTCTCTATTTCGAAATGTATCCAAACCTTGAGTAGCAAAAAAGAGTGGGAGACTGTATCTCCAGGATTGGATTTCATAGTCGAATGAACCTCGTAATCGTAAGAAAGTTGGTTTTTTAACTACGGGCCTAGCAAAAGAAAAATTTGGATAGGATCCAATAAGATGGATCTCCCCCTTTGAAAATCGGACATGAGGGTTTCCTCTCATCCGGCTAAAGTATTTACACACAATTAAAGATAAAGAAAGGGGTTTCCGCTTTCATATTTTTGAAAACCTCTAATCTAAAATATAAAATAAAAAAGGTTTACTCTTGACTCAAGTTATCAATAAAGACCAAGCAACATTTCATTGATACATTCTTCGGTTTTTCTGAATTTTTTATGCAATTCGAAATTCCGACAGAAATAAAATGTAAAATTCTTGAGTAGTCTACCTCCCTTCGAACGAGGAATCCTCTAAAATGAAATTCTTAATAAAAAAGGAATATCTTCGACTTCATAAGAGATTTCTTTGTCTCTGTATCATACCGTTTGATCTTTTAGGTCAAGACGTCACCTCGACGGGTATGCCACGATGTCTTAAAGCCTATATGCGATAGATAAACTTCTGCAATCATGATATATTTTATTCTTTGAACATAATTTTAGTTCTTTTAAAATAAAAAAAAAAAAAAGAGATGGAATAATGAATTCCACAAAAAAGTATTTTTTTTTTCACAAGGTACATACAGTATAAAGAGTTTTTTGTTACTGAATTGACCATAGACCAACTCCCTTATTGGGAGTATTCAATACACCCATGAATTGAATTCTGAGCTTCATGTTACTCATCCCAAGAGACATGCCAGATATAGGACATTCCAATTTAATTGAATGGAATGACAGTTTTTCATTCGAAATCTGTACAATAAGAATTTTTATCAAATCACACATCGCAGTATACTAGACCCTCTAATTCTTTAAGAGGTTTATCTAAAAGGCTCGCGATATAACTAGGAAGACGTTTCAAATACCACACATGGGTTACTGGACATGCTAATTTGATATACCCCATTTGATATCTACGTATCCGAGAATCAACAAATTCTACTCCGCATTGTTCACAAAATTGAGGTTGGTCTTTTTTATCTCCGATTACTCGATAATTTCCACAAGCACAAATCCCACTTTTTATAGGCCCAAAAATTCTTTCACAAAATAATCCATCTTTTTCAGGCTTATTGGTTTTATAATGAAGAGTATAGGGTTTTGTTACCTCCCCAACTGTTTCTCCATTAGGTAGGATTTTTTTTGCCCAAGCACTTATTTGTTCAGAGGAAACTGATCCAATTCGAAGGTGTTGATGTTTATACTGATCAATCATAAAATAAAATTTCGGATTCAGTCCAATTAAACTTCCTTCCTTTGAATCTGAAAGTCTTTCTCAGAGACAAGGAAATGATTCAGTTCCAGAGCCAAAGATCGTAGTTCGCGAACGAGCAATCGAAAAGATTCTGGAGCATCCACAGGTTTCGGTATTGTTCCTCCACTAATTGTAGTTCCAAGTACTTCTTGACGAGCTTTAATATGATCAGATTTATAAGTAAGCATCTCTTGTAAAATATGAGCAACACCGAATCCCTCGAGGGCCCAAACTTCCATTTCGCCTACCCGTTGTCCTCCTTGTTTGGCCCTTCCTTTAAGGGGTTGTTGTGTAACAAGTGCATAAGGTCCACTGGAACGTCCATGTATTTTATCATCAACTTGATGAATTAATTTCAAGATATAAGGCTTTCCTATTATAACGGGCTGTTCAAAAGGATTCCCCGTTCTTCCATCAAATATTCTGCTCTTTCCCGGATACTCGGGTTCAAATATCCATGGATTCGATGTTTCTTTACTGGCCTCATATAATTCAGAAAACACAAGTTTTCTGGAAGCCTCTTGTTCATATCTCTCATCAAAAGGTGCTATTCGATAATGTCTATTTAGCATACTCCCAGCTAATCCGAGCGAACATTCTAATATCTGTCCTACATTCATTCGAGAAGGGACCCCTAATGGATTGAAGACCATATCAACGGGTCTTCCATCTTGCAAATAAGGCATATCCTGTCTAGACAAAATCTTTGAAACGATACCTTTATTTCCATGTCTCCCGGCCACTTTATCACCTACTTTGATTTCACGTTTCTGTGAAATATATATATGAATTGTTTCTGGATTATAGCTAGAATCCGCTTTTTTGTGGAGCCATCTCACATCAATAACTCGGCCCCTACCACCTATAGGTAGTTTTAGACAAGTTTCCTTTGAGGTGGATACCTGAATCCCAAGTATAGCTCGTAATAATCTATCTTCCGGGGCATATGAGGATTCTTTTGCCATTTGAGGCGTTAATTTACCCACTAAAATATCGCCCGTTTCTACCCAAGATCCCAGAATTACAATTCCATTTTTGTCTAAATTTCGGAGTAAATGCGCTTCTAGATGTGGAATTTTATTAGTGATTCTTTCAGGACCATGGCTTGTCACATGAGTCTGAATTTCATATTTCCGTATGTGAAAAGAAGTATAAATATCTTCATAGACCAGACGCTCACTAATGAGTACAGCATCTTCAGAATTGTAACCTTCCCATGGCATATAAGCTACTAATACGTTTTTTCCCAAAGCGAGTTCACCACCAACTGTAGCAGCACCATCTGCTAAAATTTGTCCCTTTTTTACGCATTTACCCTTCTGAACCTGGGATTTTTGATGCATGCAAGTATTTTTGTTGGAACGTTGATATATAATTAATGGAATACTTAGACCATTCCCACTTCCAAATAAAATAATCTTCTCAGTATCATTATAAACGATCTTTCCCTCGTGTTCGGCTATAGCGGGAACTCCCGAATCTAAGGCCACTTGGCGTTCCAATCCAGTTCCAACAATGCACTTTTCGGACCGAGAAAGAGGAACTGCTTGACGTTGCATATTAGAACTCATTAAAGCTCTATTCGCATCATTATGCTCGATAAAAGGAATGAGGGAAGCTCCAATAGAAAAATATTGGAAGGGAAAAATACTTCGAAGATGAACCTGTTCCCATGCAATAGTAAGAAATTCTTGACGGTATCGAGCTGGAACAATCTGCTCCTCCTGAATACCTCGATTCAGTGCTAAAAAATTTCCCGTCGCTACCATATAGTATTCATCTCTACTTGGTGATAAAGAAAGCATTCGTATTCTTTTTGATCTCTCAGAAATTTCATAAAATGGACTTTCTATAGACCCCCAACGACCAATCCTTGCGTGAATTGCCAAGGATCCAATAAGTCCGACATTGATTCCTTCAGAGGTGTCAATTGGACAAATGCGTCCA